GATCCATGCAGCTAAGATCTGGAACAATCTCCCTGAAAATGTGAGGGAGGCGTCTACTCTGTCAATGTTCAAATCCAGGTTAAAGACTGTTCTGTTTGCCTGTGCATATAACTGAAGGATTTTATCTCCATTTTTAATGCACTGCTGTCATTTATTTATTTTTTTAAATTTCTTGTGTAATTTTGAAAGTTTTAATGGTTTTATTCTTTTGTGTGATTTTAATGTTTTAATTGTGTTTTAATCTTTTGTGTGATTTTAATGTTTTAATTGTGATTCTGGTGTTTGTTTTATGTGATGATTTGTGATGTGGACTGTGAAGCGCTTTGTGTTGCCCTGTGTATGAAAGGCGCTCTACAAATAAACTTTGATTGATTGATTGATTGATCTTGACCTAGTTTAGCTTCTCTATTGTAAAGTGCCATCATTTGCTTTGTTTATCTGCAATTTATTGTTCCCTCTAAATGGCAAAGTGGCTTTAATTTGTATGTCAAGTTCAGTATGATGGCCTCTTTACGTCACCGCAGTGTAGTGTTTTCACCATTCCCTATGTGGGTCAAAAGGTATTGTCTCTGAATTGCCGTTACGTCTCTCGAGTTGAGGTGATGCACAAAATGGGGAAAGATGGATCAGTCAAGGATGTATTTTTGTATGTATTAATTAATCCAGATGCTACTTACAGACAAGGCAGAAAACACCAGATTACATGGCAAAATCAAGTGAAAAAAAAAAAAAAACGGAAAAAACTATGCAAGATTGTATGAATGCTTATGTTTATTCCCCCACCTCGACCTTGGTGTAAAATGAATATTTAATAAATTCGAGCGCAGCCATCCACATCACAGTAGCTGTCGGGGGCTGTCAGCGCGGGGACGGTGATGGGAACAGAGGGCACCCCCTGTGTATTTCCACCCACTGTCTTAATTGGTTTGCAAAGCTTTACATAGCCTGCACACCACACTGGTTTATCAAGACAATTCTCTTTTTGACTCGTCAGCTTTCAGCATTAACCCCAGGGAGGGTTAGTCTGGGCAAAAGCTAAATACTAATGTCAATGGAAGATAAAGACTTTTTTTCCTTTTTGTGGGTTCTTAATGTCTGCAGAGAGTGATTATTGAGGTGAAAGAAAGAGAAGATACAAAATGTAATCTGTATTTGTATAGTGCATGTATCAGCAGTTTGAGCCGAGATATTATAAAGGGTTGAAAAAAGGGACGTTGAAATGTCACCAGTGGTACACAGACCCCAATTTAGGAATCACACCCCATTGCAGCGATTCTGTGCAAATGGCTGGTCTGCTGTGCCTAACTGCCCAGAACTGATCCGTCCGACACTCTCCTTCAGAAGAAACAGGAGCCCTAAGCCTCTGATCCCTCGGAAACCTGCCATGCATTTAAGTTATCATCCAGAGCTATTACCCTTAAGGAAAATGGATGACTAGGAACACCACGAATGATCAAAGGAGCCCGACTGAAATCTTGTACCACGACAAGAGCTGTCTGTACATCAGCATTCACACAAAGTATTCACCAAATACATAAATATGCTGGAGTGGAGCTCATGTTATAAGAAAAAGGAAATGGTACACTTCAAGACGGAGTATCCGGCTGGTTCACTGTAAGTGGGGGATTAAGTTTCCCTCTATGTGTATAAGAAGCTGTATTAAAATCAAAGTCATCATGCCTCCTAGAAATTGGTTTATTAAAGAAAATGTATCACGAACCTTTCATGTTGTGTCATCCTACAACACCTGGACATGCACATTTTTTGTTATCTTCAAAATCCCAACACTTTAGAATACTTGTACTTACCCAAGCAGAGCAGAAAATGCTTTTGCCGACTCACATCCAGGCCAAATTTTGAGACTTTGTTTATTGTTATACTATACATAATAAGACTTACTGTATGTCAAAAGAGTGTGAGATAACAGACTGAAAAGTATGGGTTTTAGTAAAAAATGTAATGTGAGGAGAACAATTGATTTTGAGAACTCTCTCAGACTTAAAGTCAGTCATATAATCCTTTAGTCACAATGTGAACATCAACTTAGTTTAACTCAGTGCATTTCATCCAGAATGACTTGGCTACGTTGCATATCTGTGCTGCCTCGTTTAGGTGGACTGCAGTGTCTTGGCAGGTTTAAAATGGTGCCATTTCTCTTCCTGGATGATGGATTGAAACTAGTTGTCTTATGTTTTAAACATGTGTCAATTGGCCTAATCCCTTCCTAGTATTTTGTCAATAAGAGGATAATCAAACTAATCAAGGTGTCTTCAGTGGAGCATAAGCTCATAATAACCTATATCAAATCAATATGTAAAACACTACCACGAAGCATAGAAATACGTCAAGCATGGAATTACATTTACTTCATTGACTTAACCAGCCAATATTGCTCTGCTGGTTGAATTGTATTTGCGTGCCCTTCAAAGATGGCTAATGCATGTGTGCTTTGGGCTCGTCTTGCTGACCCATAGCAATATCACTCCAACCTCCCTCACTCTATCTAATTGACGGATGGAACAGCCAATGCCATTGACTTTAATCTCCAGTCATGTCCGTTTTCATAAGCCTCTTTTTGTTCACAATGGGTTTGAAGATGTTGGTTGCACGTCGTTATCCTTAAGGTAAAGATGAAACTTGACATAAAATTGTATTGGCCTGGGATGGAATGGATCAATGAGAAAGTGGTGGTATTAGCCCTGGCGTGAGGTTCTTTCAAGCTCTATGGATTTATGATTATGCAGTGCGGAGATTGCAGGACATCCTGTGACTAAAAAGCCATGCACCTTTTTGATTGGTCCTCCTTCCACTTCTGAAAACCTCCTCTCAGCAGGGCACACTCAGCAGCAGATTGTCGTCCAACAATAGTCTACATCTGTCTACTCTTTGGCCAGATTTCAAGAATGCAATTTTCTTTCTGGGGTGGCAAAGTAGAGAGATGTTTTGTGCTTTACTTATTTTTATATTAGATTTGTTATGCTTGTGGGTGAGCATTTATCATAAATCATTTTCAACATGCTACTTTCCACTTAATCAAAAACTTTTCAACATGCTACTTTCCACTTAATCAAAAACAAAGAAATCTGCAATATAAACTTAGAATACATCCTGAAATTCCAGTAAGACTCATTCCCAGAGAGGCTCCTCTGTCATCGCCCAGTATGATTTGCGGTCGGTTGTTACCAGCCATCCCCCTTCAATTGAAAATCTGGCAACCAATCAGGCCCTGTACAATGAAATATGCTCAATCTGGCTTTGATAATGCCATAAATCTTGGCGCGGAGCTTGGTGAGGGCAGGTACCATGATGCACCAGTCTCTAAAAGGGTGATCAGATGGCTTTATTGGCCAACAGTGTTGGGCCGGATCATCAGAGCCTGTTTGGTCTGATTTATGCACCTTCCCCCGTGTGTCATCTTCATCAGATCATCAGCGTCACTACGATGTGTGGGCTCTCCTGTTGGATTGTGGGAAGTGTGGTTATGTGTTACCCAGGGGTGTTGTGAAGACTAGGCATTTGCTTCTGTGCAACTGGAGGCTGCACAAAATTGGAAAAAAATATGAATTTAGTCTGAGATAGAAGTGGTGACCCTATTTACAAACTTAAATATAACATGATAAATTACCTTTTGTTATAGCTACCACACAAAATAATTAAAGTTAAAGTTTTGGGATGGTCCACGGAGGTAAATTTGTCTCGATGAAGGTGTATCAGGGGTTACCTTGACCGTATGCTGAACTAGTTAATAGCAAAACTATTACTTCATTTCCAGCTGGATCTTAATTGAGTGACGTGAACATAAATATCCTTCGCAGACATCGCTCCCGTTGTTTCTTCCCTTCACACATTTTAATGAGGCTCCATGGGCCGACGAGACACATTATGTTCACCGTTAAGTCGTTGTCTGTTGGTTTATGGCCCCTCTTTCTCAGCTTTGTTTTCTGGACCCACTGCAGCCTTTTACTATTGTTTGGAGTCTAACTGGTGATTTGTTGCATAGATAAACGCAGTTGTTAATTTGGCAGCAAGGTTTGCCTTATGGCCTTTCACTCAATTCCTCCTGTGGTCTGTTGAATAATGAATGGTATAATATTTTTTAAAGGAAGAGATGCACTTGAAAAACCACCAACCAACCCAGAAAATACTGCTTTGTATTATATATTCCTATGAACTGAGAGCCAGAATTAAAGCACTGAATATTGAAACTACAGTGCAGCTTTCATGTGCAACATGGGATACTTATGTGTCTGTTCTTTCAATACAGCGGCCCCTCACTGTCGCACTAACGCACTTCACCTTTCGTCGCCTCGGTTTTTTGTGGATTTATTTATGTGCATTTTCTGCTTTTTACTTCTTGCTTCTCATGTGCCGGGTGTATACTCCCAACATCATATACAACATCATGTAGCCGCTTGGGTTAGAGTTAGCATGACAGTTTTAAAGTTAGAAGAAAACGTTTGTGTCTTGTCTGCACCGCGGCCATTTGTTCAGAAGATTATAGCCCTCAGTCCTGCTCCTGCCCATCAGCGCGATGTCTTCTGCAGCTGTATTTGTTTTTGCTGTGTATGCATGGCTTTTGACAGCTGCAGCAGCGCTCAGACCAACTAGGAATAGGTTTGACATCTCCGCAATCGCACTTCAGCAGTCGTGAGTTGGGAAAGTGTTTAAAGAGTGTGGAGAGTGGTTTAACAGGTGTATTACTTGGTGTATTTTTTTTTTTTTCATATATTGCGGATTTGTCTTTTATCAAATTACTATTTATTTTGAGATTTCATAATAAACAAACAATAAGACAACAATGTTATTTTCAAGACAAACTAACAGCAGCTTTTTTCACAGATTAATATTATCATTGTTGTTAAAATTGGTTTCTATTCTCGGGGAAACGTTTTGTCTGACTTTAACCAAGATAAATACTTCTGTGGGTCGTTGTTATCACCTCATTCCATATCCATACATCCTTCAATAACATTTTAAACCTCATTTCATGCTTGTTCCAGGTATGGAGGGGAACTCTTGCCAGAATGCGATACCGGCGGATGAGAGCGGCCCTGATAATCCTCCGAGCCTACAGACGCTATAAAGTGAAGTCGTACATAAAGGAGGTGAACCGACGCTTCAAAAATATCAAAAACATGAAGGACTATGGACGACGCGTGAAGTGGCCCACTCCCCCAAAAGTACTGCGCAAGTTTGAAGAAGCCTTGAGGAGCATCTACAACAGGTAAACAGATGCTCTCTGTGATATCTGTGTGAATGAGTAAAAGTAAGATAAACGTTACTCTAAATCAGGGGTCTCCAACCTTATTCTTTTGGAAAGCTACTTTTATAAAATAGAAATGGCAAAGAGCTACTTCTTTTGACAGTCGTAATACAATTGCAGTCTACATAATAACTACAGCCAATCATACACAAGCAAAATATACCATTATACCACATAATATCCCTGCAAATGACAAGATTTATAGTTAAAATAGACATGTAATGACTCAAAAGTGAATTATTCAGGATCATGTGTTAAATTCTTGAATCCTTTGGGGAGCTACCTGAATGGGGGGGGCAAGCTACTGGTAGCTCACGAGCCACATGTTGGAGACCCCTTCTCTAAATGATTCACGCCCATTTGGCAACATTTTATTTTAAAGTGGTGAAAAATCAAGGTTATTTTAACAGCTACAATTAATGTTTATCACCCAGTGCAGGCCTACAATAGATATGTTTTTGTCTGTGAACAACAGTGTAATGTGTTCTGCTCTTCTTTATATATCTGTCTTTTTCCATCTTACCTCAAATATCCAGCCTAAACTTCTGCTGCTGAAATTAATTTGCTGTAAAATACAGTGTACTTTACTGTATCCAAGCTGCAGGCACTTTTTACACGGTTTTAGCAGAAGAAGAACCAACAGCAAAGCAGACTAATCCGTGCCTTAAGGGTTGCGTTCCATCCAGATGTGTCCATTTGGTGAAACTTACACATGTTTCCCTGTGCCTCAGGCAAACACCAGGAATTGATTTTTCCCGCCTCCCATCAAAGCTTCATCACCGACTTTTATCCTAGCGTTTGTATTTATTTGATTTTGTGCACAGTTTGAAAATAGCCGTTTTCTACAATGCCGCTAGCTGTCAGTCTAACCTGCCCTATACGCAGCTGGGGCTTTGCTTTTATGTATGAAAGAGAAAGTATGCCGTCGTTCCCCGGAAAGCTGATGTCTCTGCTTTGTCTTTGCGTGTCTACAGGTGGTGGGCATGGACACTGATCAAAAGCCTTTCACCAGAGCAGACGCTGCAGGTGAGGGCGAAAGTGGCAGGATTTGAAGCACTCAAGGGCCACAGGACGGATTTGGGACTCCAGCGGGCCTGGGAGGGGAACTACCTGGTGAGTGAGGGGATAAGCCTCATCTTTGAATAGACACGGCAAAGCTTTTGAGCTATAGCTAGAGCAGTATTTGTCCTATTTGTGAAGCGTCTTTGAGTGTCCAAAAATGCCACTATATAAGTATGATAGAAAATGAAAATAGAATTAAAAATCATTGTAATTCTTGTTTGCATTTTTGGGCATTTTTAGACGGAAAATCCAACATAAACAGATATCCCAGAGCCTCCACAAGTTACAACACATCTGTCATTTTATAACAATTGTCTTTTTGAAATGAGAAAAACATTTTTACAACTGGATGCAAGCAGAGTGCAGCAGTCTGACATCATAATAATTCCTCACAGACTACTGTATATTGCAAACCTTTGGACAAATTCAAACAGAAATGTCACATATTAAAGTGAAGTCACAACTCTATGATAACCAAATGCTGTGAAAATGTTCCTGTTAATTGAGCCGTATGTGAATGTTGCTGTACAAATAAACTTGCCTTGCCTCAGAGACTTCTTTTCACAATCATACTGATGGTAACATATATTTTATAAGACCATCTGCAACTCCTCATGTTAGTTTTGTCGGGGATTCAAATCTAAAAAGAGCCATGAGTGAAAATCAGCAGTGCTATACTATGCCTGTTTTCATTTGTATTGACAGAAGCGAGACAGCCCTGGTACGGCTTCATCGTTCACTTTGGTCTCCAGCGAACTGCAACGAAGAGACAAGTTTATGAGAGTTCTGTTCTCCTGTAACGTTCGAAAGGTAGGTAGCTGCCGAGCACACCAGCCCACGCACACATATTTTATTTCTGTCAGCACAAACAAATAAAAACAAACTGCTATGGGTTTGCACTGTCTCCCTGCAGAGCCTTAAACTGTCTGTCTGTGCATTTCTTTTACATTAGATAACGGAGTGTATATAAACACAACTATGTATGTTTTTTAGATCAACCGTTTTAACAAAGCCGAAGACCGGACAGTGCTCATCACCGACCGCCACCTCTACAAGATGGACCCCCTGAAGCAGTACAAGCCCATGAAAAGCATTCCCTTATACAACGTGAGCGACTTATTCTTTTATATTGAAGTTTAAGGAGTATTCGTTCTGTGAGTTGAAAGTCCCCCGAGGTTTTCACTTGGTTTATACACAAGCACGCATTTTTCCAAAAAAGGTCAAAGCCAAGACAAACAGAAATGTCAAATAAGTGTGTGGTTCGCTATAAAAAAGTAGCCTGAAAGGTATAGACTTTCTGGCTGACAGGTTTCTCTGTTGATTTTCATATTTGAAGTATCCATTCCAATTCAAAAGTACAATGCACTTAGCTGGTGTGTTGTCTGAGAGTGTCTGTGCTTCCCTCACAGAAGCCGGAGTGTGTCTGGCAGTAGAAAGGTTCCCTGTAGGTTTTGCTGATTACACGGCTGTCTCTGCTGTTCTGCCCAAATAAGTGTGAAACCCGAGTTTGCTTTGCTGCAGACAAAACTCAAATTGTTCGCAACTATTGGTCTTTTAGCTAGAAACTGGGCTTCAGAAAGTTTGTTTATTTGATCAGTTGAAAGAGACAGTTATATATATTTTTGATTGTAACACTAGCTTCTCCCACAGCTGCGGTGTGGGTGGCAGCTTATTACTTTACACAGAGAAATGGTCTCTAATTTCCTTCGTCCTGGGATCCGAGCTATTGGCCGTCTTTAATTTATGTCCTTACTGTGATAGGTTCATTAGCAGCAACATGCTCAAAGCACATGAGGCTGTTTCCATGCAGAGTTTAGTGAGAGCACATCCTCACCTAATATCCAGGTTCATTTATTTATGGCTAAAAGTCATTTTTAAAACTAACTCTTCAATTGTGAACTCACTTATGGATTTGTTAACTTTTGATTTAAAGCATTTGTCTTTTAATAGGCATCAGAATGTATGACTAAACAATGGCCTTTCCCATGTTTACATATATACTAGTGCTAACATGGCAGATCACACTAGCTTTCTGCCAAAATGCCCCCAATAAAAATACTGAATAAATAAAATAATACAGTTTTCAAGGTGTTGCCCCAGACAATGAAAAGAGAAATATGAAGCAAAGATATCAGGCTAGATAATATCATCAAACCTTCAATGTTTGGGCCCTGTGGAAGTCGAGTGGATCTATAAAATCCGCACTTTTTCTCGTTGACTGTCTACGTGTTATCGGTAAAACTTGGAGCACTTCTAGAATAAACAGAACACCGTCACGTTGATCAATATTTTCCCCAACCCCATTTCACCCGCTCCCCAGACACAGATGAAACAATTTACCCAGAAATGATGAGTGACTCCAGAGGTGAGCAGCTGCGAGCGAAGACGCAGAGGTATATAACTCATTAATCAGTCCCAAATCCATCATGGCCGCCTGCTGCAGTGGACCCGAGCGCTGGGCAGTGAGACGGCCATGACTCAAGGTCCTTCTGTAGAATCTGACAAATAAGTGACAGCAGAAAATTGGAAATACCCGGGAACATAAAACTTCAGAGTCGTATCAGCACAACATGTGTAATAGAGCGATGGAGCCAATGGAAACACAGCCGTGCCAAGGAATTAGGTCATTTATGTGAAGGGGTGACTCATTCTATGGATTGGGTTTGCGTCTATCGGTAGGAAGTCATCGCAGCAGGTAATTGGCAAGAAGAAAAAAAGGTATAATGAATATGACGCACTGAAGGATTTGACCGCGTTTATTTCAAGCTTTTAATTCAAGCTTTTAATAAAAAAAAAAGGTGGCTTTAGAAACCTTATGCTGTATGTTTTGACATGTTTTGTTGTTGGTACACAGCGAAAAAACGTCAGGACCAGAGATTCACAGCGTTATACAGTAGCTTCAGAGAACCAAAACATTAAGTGGAAAAGTACTGACTTATGTTGCACCTGTTGTAATGACAAGCTCCGTTTAAAACCTTACATTTTCATTTCCTGAAGAAAGCAATGTATTTTTTTCTTTTTGGAGTTTTCTAATCCCCTAGTTTTTTTTTATTATAGGCCTTTACCAAATGGTTGAGATGCAGTTTGATGTTAAAAGTGCCTAAAACAAAGAGAGATGCTCCAAAGAGGTAGATTTCAGTGCCAAGCTTTAAGTAGATATTGTGACTCAAAAAATAGATCCACCATATTGTTGAGGAAACCATAACAGGGTAACATAATTGCACAAAAAGTCTCGTAAAAGATCCATAGTTTCATTAGTATAGATTTGTGGTTAATTTTTTAGCTCAAAAGATTCCAAAGCCCTATTGTAAGGTGAAAGATGTTGTTATTGTAATTGGTCTGCAGATATAGTAAGACAGAAAACTAAGCTAGAATGTTGTGAAATAGATGGAGATATATTATTTTTCGGCTCCGAGAAATTGCTAGTTTCACCTTTCCACAATGCCGCTGATGAACGACGGCAATTCAGGCGTTTTAACGATCAGCTATGTGCATTTGTAGCAGTAGGAAAACACATGTAAGAAAGATTATCTGTGCTGTAATGTGTTCTTCAAGTGCATCTCTGTTGTCGTATTTACCATACCTCTGCAAGAAAAGCCTTGCGATAAGGTTGTGTCACATAAACAGACGCTATTTTTAGAGGGAAAAGGATTTGAGGAGACTGCAAGCGACTGTAAAGGTGGAAACGGCCCCAGATTGAGCTGTGAGCTTCAGGCCCAGAGCACCGTGACACAGCCAAATCGATCGGGGAAGGTCAAGCAGAGGGGAAAGCTGTTAGCTCATTGTTGATTAGCGCTGATAGGCCAACACTGCCGCATCCCACGGCAGCCCTGGCCTGTTTATTTACTGCTGCCCCTGCATCCAACCATTGAGGGCATTGGTAAACTGATAAATGGTTAGCGCTTATAGGAGGAGCAGCCCCCAACTGCCACACCAAGGATTTATTAGTCATTTAATGCCTTCGGTGCAGAACGCAGTGATGTCATTGTGAGACTATGAATCAAAAAACTGCACTTTTGAGACGACGAGTTTTATTGTTGCCATTTATTTTTTTATGACAATCCGCAAAAAGTTTTATAGTCATTTGAAGGACTGAAAAATCCATTGAGTTATGTATTATGGCCATATCATCACGCTGCTAATACAACAGTAGTAGTTATCGCCCCCACTATAATGTCTATCTGTACTTACTGTTATCATTGGGCTACCACCTGCTACTGTTGTCTTGTGTTCTTGTCTTGAACACTCAAAATATAGAAATGTCAATGGCTACCAGTTACAAATGGCAGACCTGATTATTTAGGCAACATAGAGGTAAATATAGTTATAAAATAAGGTAATACACTGTGAGTAAATGGCGTGCATATTTAGTGGTTTATACAGTGGTTTGTGGTGATAAATCAGTTTGCAAATTTGTATTATTGAGTGTCAAAATTGTTATTGATATTTTCCCTCCATAACTGCTTTTTTGATAAACCAAATATGCTCTTTGTCATTTGAAATGTCCCATAAAAATGTATATTGTACATTATATTTTCAATTATACTGTACTAAATATTTGTGGATTTTTTTCTGTCATTTTAAATTCATAATAATAGAGCTAATGCCTAAATTCATGACTCCTTATTCCTCCCAGTGGTTTCCAGCTGTAACCTCTTTCCTTTTTAGAAATCCCTGCCTCACTCAATTTTTCTAAAGCGCTTTGGTCCAAAATCTCCAGTTCATGTTTTTCTCTTCAATCCTGTTAATTCCCGCTTCCTCACCCTCCCTCCCTCCCTTTGCATTCCCATCTCTTCCCGTTGTTGTTGTCATGGCGACTTCCCGGGAGAGGCGTCGTCATGGATACGGACCAGCGGGGCGGATCAGCTGATGTCTGGTGTCATTTAGACATGTGCGTTCCGGGCCGCTCTCGTCGCCGCGGAGGCTTATCTGAGGCCCCTCTGGCTCATTCTCCATCACGTTTTAAAAGATTGGACTTTTTTTTTTACTCTCCGGCCTCAAGAACAAAGACCTTAGAAGTTACAGTCATATCCACTCCAACTTTATCTATATGGCACATTTTACAAGGCAGTTTCTCATTGTTATTAAAACACGTAATCCTCTACAGGCCCCATTAGCCCTCATTAGTTATCAAAAAGACGTCAATGCAAAAGAGAACTCGAACGCACTAGAAATCATTAAAGCCACGGTACTTTTTCATAAATGATACCTTTCGATTGTCCTAGAACAGAAATGGTAACGTGTTAAGACCAAAACTATAGCATGCTGGTTAGAATGTGCCGTGTATGTCACTCTTTGACACTTTGAGTGATGGCGGTTCTCCTTTTGTTGCTTTTCTGTCTGAAGAATCTGTGACAGAGGCCAAAAATGCAGGAACTAGCCACATGGCCATGATTACAATAAGATTTTTTACTGGTTTTAAAAGTTGGTACCGTGCTTACCTCGTTTGGTGGCTACTACTTGTGATGCTCGTGTATTCTCAAACCCTTTTCACTGAGGCGTCATGAACGACTTCGTCAGATTTGTATACAAATTAAGATTCTTCACTCACCTGTGTGGATTAGATACAGTAGCTGGATGCAATAATTTGAAAGCTAAACATGAACTATGATTGAGGAGGACGCAAAACTAATCTCAGTATTTTTTATGAAGTCTTTTTGTGCTATAACATATTTTGTCTTTCTTGGTTTAATTCTAGTATTGATATGATGCATTTGGGTTTCTTTTCACTGGTTCTATAGAGTTAAACCAATCAAATGTTTTCCAATAAACAGTCTGTTCATCTCCTTTTATTTCTGCAAAATCCAAAACAACAGATGCCTTTAGTAGATGAATGGCTCTGGCACATGTCATACTCCGACTGCAAACTGATTTAGGAAAACAAGATCAAATTTTGACTGAGAATGTCTCATTATGCTGCTCATTATAACGCTGCTCGTCGTTCCAATCAATTAAGCCGTTAATATGAATGTAAATGTAGTCTGCTCCATGTAATTAACTATTTGCGGATTTGTGGTAATTCGTGCTGATTACGGAGAAGTGTTTTGGACCAGAGTGGAAGATGTCTCGTTGATAAATAAGCTACCTGATTGTGAAATGTGAGCTGGAAAATAGTCTTGGCCAGGGCCGGAGTGGGACAACATTTCAGGCCGGGAGCTTTTCATCCATTCAGGCCAAACAAGGTTCTAAATTTGGGTTTTTGTCATTGTATTTTGATGTTCTTTTAATAGTTTTAAGATTGACTGTCAAAACTTTTGTTTTCTTTATTTTTTTTAATATTGACTGTTTATATAATCTCGGACGTTTAAGGATTGTTGTACGTTGCTTAGCAACGTAACGTTTATGGAGTTTAGTGAGAATAAAGACACACACACACACACACAATTAACTAAGTGTTCATTAGTGTATAACTATAACAAGCTACAGTAATCAATTATTAGTAAGGTAAAATCACATCGTTACAGCTCATATAAAAGGAAAAATAAAAACGTGTATGAACCATCAGTTGGAGAGACCACTCATTTCAACCGGGGAAGCTACACTGGGTGCACTGCTAGGCTGGCCTGGCTGTGTAGCCGATGTGTGACGTCACATTTGTTTAATTTTGCTCTGGCCCAATGACAGTAAAGCTTTGGCCAGTGTTGTGCCAGTTCACAGCTTTTCTGAACTAGTTCAAGTTCAGTTCATACATGCTCAAAGTGAACAGTTCACGTTCGAAGTTCTCAATTTTAATTCTGAACTAGTTCAAAGTTCATTTTACTTTTTGCGAGATATTCAAATAAATATTTTTTTTCACTACGAGCTAGAAATCACAATACGTGGTATATATATATATATATATATATATATATAATTATATATTATATCCTGTACACTGCACAGGATGTTTTGACTCCAATGCAGACAAGATTTACATGGGTTTCAATGGGAACTGAGTTGTCCCATTTCTGCTCATAAGTACAAACTGTAATGCGCTGCAGAACGTGTGTCTATACTTTATGTCAAATGTAAACGGCCCTGTGTCACTGACTTACCCCTGTGTTTTCATCACGGCACATGTGAGTCCAACAACCAATGAATAGCACTAGCATACAGCGCCGCACCGCAAGTACACTGAGTCGGGGTGCGTTCACAGACGGTGGAAACCGTAGGAATTTTTAGTTTTCGGCGGAAACAGTGCGGAAAATACAGGAGGGAGGAACTTTCTCTCGTTGCGTTTCAACAGAGAAAACAGATTTCACTCAGTTTTAAATGGAAAACAAATTGTCTGCCGTTCATGACACATAATATGAACTAATTCACGTTCAAGTCCATCCATCCATCCATTTTCTACCCTTTAATCCATTTCTGGGTCAGGGGGGTGGCAGTCAGAGATGCCACCCAAGTCTCATAGCACCAGCCCCTCACTGACCCTCTGCAGGTGGTGAGTCCACAGGAGGACAGCTGCTCTCTGAGTGTGAGCATAGCCTTGATCTTTCAGTGGGGGCTTTGGGCAAAGTGGGGTTAAGTGTCTTGCCCAAGGACACAACGACAGCAGTCATCAGTGGGAGCCGGTGGAGAAGGTGCAGAGGTGGGAATTGAACCCACAACCTTCTGGCCTTAAGGCCGATGCTCTACCAACTGAGCTACTGTCGCCCCTTCAACGTTCAAGTTCTTTATTAAAAAATTTGTTGCGTTCAGTTCAACGTTCAGGAAAAAATGAGCGTGTTCAATGAACGCGTTCTTTTGAACTCGTTCACGCACAACACTGGCTTTGGCCTGGGCCTTGCTCATTGGACCAGGCCACCAGGCAGGGTAGGAGTTTGCAAAGACCGTGAGGATGAAATTAAATTAAAAGAAAAAAAAAAAAAAAAAAAAAAAAAAAGACCGTGATGATAGGGCAGGCCCAGGCCACTTTGACACGCAGGCCACCGGGAGATCTCCCGATGCTCCCGATGGCCAGTCCGGGCCAGGTCTTGGCGCTAATGAAAAAAGAAAAGTAGTTTTTTTGCCGTTGCCTTTGCACTTGGGAAGATGGAAATACCTGGCACCCTGGACTCGGATGGGTTATGTTAAAATGTATAGAAAGCCAAGATTAGGATCTGTTGGGACTAAAGCCAGATTGTGGAAGAATGCACAATGCATATAAACTCAGACAAATCTTATGAAATGTTTTAAACAGTTTAAACAGTAGAATAATACAATGATAAAGTCTTCATATTTTAAGTTCTTATTTTCCACAATCATAATGTTGTGTGTGGGCTTCAATTCAAAGACATTCGACAAAGTCCTTCGGGAGACTATTCACAGCATCATTATGGAGTATTTAAGCCTTGAGTGTGAGAAAACCCAAATGTCAATAGCCATCAAACACTGGTCTTCTGTAAGGGAGGGGGCCTTTCATCTTTCTGTCTTTAACTTGAAAGCTTTCTTTCCTCCCTGGGCAAATGCTCGAACAGTGCAGGAAATAACGTTTACGTAGCAGATGTTTGTGATCATAATAATATTGTGAATAATTTTTTTGTTTTACTTTTGTGGACCATTTCACTGTTATGTCGCACATGACTTATCCTTGAAGACACTTTGTGTTCAATGTAAAGATTTCATATTATTAGCAGACACCATAATATAATGAGACATCAATGTTTTCCTATGTCCCCCATCTTTGTTATTTTTGATACATTCATATCAATCTCATCAGATAAACTGATGGACGTGGGGCTTTTATTGTTGGGTTCCACATGACACAGAGACACAACGTCTCATGGCACAAAATCTCATGAGAGAAAATTGCCAGTTAGTGAGCTGACATTCAGTGTAATGATATTTTCAGTGCTTTATTGTGGAACTCGTTGCACCTTATCTCAGACATAAGGCAACAAACCGTCCACAGCCACTGGAACCAGGTCTCAGACTCCCCGCTGGTTTGTTGGCTGTCCTGAAACATCAGGATTCCACGCTTAAGTTCCCACTTGATTGTTGCTCACTGAACACATCTCGGGTAAAAATAGAGAGTCAATTATGGATCATTTTGACATGACAACCCGTGTCACTCAGTTTAAACGGAACTCGTGCCCTGGGAATTTCCACCTGGGAAAGTGCCTCATATCACTATATTTTATTAAGCAAAAAGATAAAACCATGTAGAATCCTCATTATTTATCTTTCTGACATATGATGTGTTTTCAGGAGTTGTCATTCTTCTGAGGATCCAGTCAGAATTTCAGTTCAATTCATGAATAAAATCCAACTGAAACCGGATGAAAGTACTCAGAGGTTTAACATGACACTGTTGCTGTGATTTGGGCGATACAAAATTTATATAAATTTATTTGAGGACCTGTCCACATACAGAAAATGAAATTATGATCCTTGTGCAGCAAACAAGGCACTTTTAAACGCTAAGTGCAGGATACCTTTTGTTTATATCCACTTTAGTCTTTCTTTCTATTCAGTCCCGATGCTTGTTTCCCATGTGACCTCATCATAGCGAAGGCTTGAAACCCCCTTGTAATTTACTAAATACATCTTTACATTTGCACCTGTTTGATTGGCTGTACAAGTTTATCTAACCTGTGTCTTTGGCTGTGGTCCAGGTGACAGGAGTGAGCGTGTCCCCAGGGAAGGACCAGCTGGTGGTCTTTCACACCAAGGACAGCCGAGACCTGGTGGTGTGTCTGCAGGGCCTGGTTCCTCCCAACGAGAGCCGCATTGGGGAGCTGGTCGGCACCCTGCTCAGCCATTTTAAGAGGTGAGGATCGTCCATTAGGGGGAAAAAATGGGTATTAAAGCTGGGGTAGCTAACTTTTTGGTTTTAAAATAGAAAATATGTTGTTTATCCGATTCCAATGTAGTTTTTTTCTGCAAATGACAACAAATTGATTCTGATTCTGAAATGTGAACAGAAAGTTATACGGATTTCATTGTATAGCTTCATTTTCTGTGGTTTGAAATGGGTACCCCAACTTTAACTGATTCACGAATTAGCCTCAAGTTGCTGAGCTTGCTTTTTGTACAAAGCTGAGGTTCTCGGATTTGTCCTGGATACGGCTCTTGAATGTATTGCACTCCACTTTTAACATATTTTCATGTCTATAAAAATCATTAGGAAAGGCAATCACTGGCCAGTTCATTTTCAGTTCAGCCCATGTGCAAATTCAGGTCTGCGACAACATTGGATTATATTGAGGAAGCGTCTTGGCAGAGCAGTTCTTCAGTTATTAAAGTCATAACTGCCAAACTTAATATACTTGAAACGGCGAAATCATTCTTAAAACGTAACCTTTGCTGCGAAGGCTCGTCTGAACTTGCATACAGTCATTTCCAAAAAAATGTGTGTAATGGGACTGCACTGATCCAGCTGGCTGCATTGACTCGAGGGGGGATTATTATAGGGCAAATAGAGTTCAGTTTCTGCATCTGTCCTCAACCGAACTCAAATCATCATTTAAAAGCTGCATAAGACCTTATTAGGAACCAGCATGACGCCGCAGAGATGTCCTGGTAAAAGGTATATAAGGATTAACTATAGGATTATGTGACGCAGGCCCCAGTTTCCTGTGGTTATCGTTATTTTTTCATTAAGGCGATGCGAGGTCTGCTCTTAACGTATTTCTCCTTCTCTACAGGAAACTATCATTTCTATTTCACAGCCATCTGTAATAACCACTTTTTTTCTATATGGTTGAACTGAGGTAAAGAGCTCATGTGGAGGTTCATTGAGAAGTAGACATTTTGGCTTTTAGCTCTGTATCTATTATCTATCGTATGAGAATTTGTTTTGGGATTTTGTTTTCAGTCAAGTTTGCAGCCGATCTGGATTTGAACGTATTTGAAAATAATTGAGATAAACCAAAGATTGAATATAACTGAAAGAACTACAAACATAGACGATTCCATGTCATATATAATGTATTATGAAAAAAGTGTCACAACATTCATTTAGAGATTTTAGTTTACAATTGTGGTAGAGGCCACGGGTAACTATGGTATGTGTCAAAAGCAGGCTTCATCTTAGTTTAGAGGTCATTTCTTTGTACTTTTTGGGCCAACCTACATAAAACCCACTCTCCTTCTTTGTCCGTATCATCAAACAGTGTATAAATCTTATTGTATCCATAAAAAAGTAAATCATGTACTTGTGGTGGGAGTCTATAAATTTTTCTTCCCACACCATTTTGTGCTAAATATACTTATAAAATACTGGTAAATATGTGTTAATCCATGTATGTAAGTATTTATGGTTGAAGGAATGAATTAAGTACAGCACAACTACTAAAAAAAAGTACATACATGAGTCGTGAATCTACTGTAATCACTATAAACAATGATTAGAAAACGTTCTTTCAGAAATGGCTTCCTCCACACCTGCACCGGCACCTGCCATCCAACCGCAACTCACTTCTCCAACATGAATGCAGCCGATTATTGTAATGACCAATCTTTGGAGTCAATTTGATAATCTTCTCTTAATGTGGCTCATTGTTCCGCTGCTGCTTGTTTGGAGATTGGAGCCGAACAAATGTTTTCTCTGATTATTGAATGGACTGTCTGGCACTGCATTGATTGGTCCATGTCCCCCCACCCTTTCAAGAGAGCAGAGTGGAGGCGGCATCTGCTTATCTCTCTGTTCGTGTAAAAGCTTTTCTGTGGCGGCGCTGGCTGACCGGGAGCGTGCACGTGCTCTCCGTAATTGCTGCATTGTGAGATGGCCTCTGTGTCGCCTCAGTAATGGACCAAAGAATGGGTTTTTGGTCGTCGATCCAAATTGGTATACATGCACTACAAAAACTACGGTAGAAATTGCCTCAATCCAGCTGAAGTTTTGTATTTTTATTTTTTTTGACTGCCTTAAATTTGTCAGTGGGATAAAAAGCAGTAGCAGTTTTTGTCTTGGCTGTTCTTGACTAAAAACAAGCTAATTCAAGCTATTTTTGACTCATTTTTGGCAGTGTGTTATTCATGGGATTGTTTTACAGGCATGACAGAAAAGAGATAACCATTATTTGTTCATTTATTGATCTTTTTATGAGAACGTGTATATACATTTATGAATGAATAGGACACCACATTGTAAAGCGCTTTATGTGACCTTGTGAAATGCGCTATATACATATAAGCGACTTCCTGTACTTGCTTATTTGGTTAAAATGTGGTTAGGGCTGTAACAAGGTAATAGATTAATCACAACTAATCAATTATTGAAACTGTTGCAAACTAATTTAGTAATATTTTTTTGGACCTTAGACTTTAGAGATTTTTTAACTCATATTTCTAGAATAACTGTAGATCTCCAGAGGCATTACTCAAGCTTTGTTTGGTCAAATGTAGAAAAATAATCCATGTTCACGGACTTTTTTCAGATCTAATCTGATTTATTGTAAGAAAAAACAGCCAGCTAATGAAGTTATTATTATTGTTGGTTACAGCCCTAAATGTTTTCTAGGGAGATTTTGCCATAATTTTCTCTCATTTTCTACAGAGCAATTCTAGTTGTTTTTTTCTTTCTCTCCTCTCGCTGAGTGTTCTGCTGGTCCTCTACTGGTCCTCTGCTGGTCCTCTACCGGTCCTCTGCTGGTTCTCTGCTGGTCCTCTACTGGTCCTCTACTGGTCCTCTACTGGTCCTCTACTGGTCCTCTACTAGTCCTCTACTAGTCCTCTACTGTCTTTCGCCCAGACCGAGGTTTTTGCTTTTTCAGCTCTTTCCTACTATAGTTGCAGAAATCCTAACCGGCGTGATGGTGTACTCCAATTTTTTCTGTAAACATTACATTTTCTCGGTACAAACATCTACCTAAATACATTTAAATGCATCCAAAACACATAACACATAACATGGAATAATGGATCGTGTACTCCTCTTCCTGTGGTTTTATGCGAATGAGGTTTGGGGGTTTGCATCTGCTTACCTTTCTCGTGGTAGACACTGTGATAGCGTGTGGCTGCTAGCGTGTGCACATGCTCTGTATTATTGCTGAGCTGTGATGGTATCTGGTCTATTGTTGGTTCCTGCCGCTGTGTCGGTATGGAGCCTCCTCCAGGCCTCCTGTAATGACCCCCCGAGTGCGAGGCTTGCCGTCTCATCCATCACCTGCTAACACTGACAGGACAAAAGGACACCCCACCTTCTGCTCTGGAGCTGCTGCTGTACTTCCTCAATACACTCTCAATTTCCAGGCATTTAAAGGCCACCATAATGTTGTTCATGCCTAACTGTGTTGTATCATGTTTTTATGCAGTTCAACCTCATACCGTTTACTTTGACCAGAATTATAGTCTCTCATTATACTTTATTGGCTATTTAATGCCTTTTTGAAAACTTAATTTGGCAGCATAGCAGTTAATAGTTGGCATTGGGATAGTATTTCTTATTCAGCTTTGAAAACCTTTAATTATTTTTTTGATATGTCTTTCCACACACTGAGATAACTTCTAGATGATAGACGCAAAGACTTAAGACATTAACATTGGGGACTTTTTAGATCCAATAGCAGTAGTAGTTTGTAGTTCAGGAAGTTCATATTAATTAAACAAAAACTAATGCATTTAATGAGGTTTTATTTCTCATAAAGGTGTTATTACTTAATGAATCAAACTAGTGTTTCGGCCAAAACCTGGGAAACATAATTAACCTAGGTGTGCACTGAACCCATTATCATTACCCCTGAAGTGAAATGCCTTGGCTTTGTGCTCAGTCTTCTTCTCCTCGTCCTACCAGCTCCACAGCCCCTCAGAGACGTCCCTCTAACCTCCAAGTGTCCTTGAACTCGCCACAACAGACTGGCAAAAGTGTCTCTCAGCCACAACAAAGCCACTCTTGATCCCCTCGGAGTGACACTGCTGCTGGCACTAAACCCGGTCCCTGTCAGAGAGATAAAACGCATGTACAGGGCCATTTCAAACCGTTTTGGCACTAAGCTGTATTCTACTGAACCCAAAAGTTTGAAACGGTCCAAGACTACAAGGTGCGACATCTTCCACTCATCAATGCATCGACGGAGACTGCATGAGCCAAGACGATAGCTCTGTCATTTCACAACACCGACTGAGAGTGTTTTATGCTTTCTTTACTCATCATTGTCATTGTCATTCTTGTTATATCCCTTGTATTGAGTGGCATTCAGTTTTTCAAACAATGGCTAGAAAGGACGTGGTTCCATTCCTTCCCGGATCCAAACAATGATCATGGTCACACTTGCAAAAAATCAAAGCCTTGTCCTATTTGCAAGATTTTCTGAACATTTCTAACAAATCATTTTTATTTTCTTCTTGAAGCCAGTGACAGAATTAGTGATTTGCCAACAAACACTTAGTTCTGGCTCTTTAAGATGCAAATGTATATTTTTCTCAACCCTTAGCTGTTGCAGTTATTTATTCACGTTTAAAGTTGAAAATCTTGACAACATGAATCAAAGACAGTGACTCAGTGGCTGTGCTTCACTTAAACCTTTAAGTGAGGCTACATGTATCCACTCTCTCCTGCATGGTATTTCTGTCTGCTATTTCTGACTCCATCCCATTGTAGCATCTATACCCTGGAGGCTCTGTTCTCTGCTCCTCTCTCTCTGCTTTGTTTCTGGTGCAGATGAAATATTTAAGGCCAGGCGGCTGCTGCTGCTGCTGCTGCTGCTTCTGCTTCTGCGGGTGGGGCCTATATTTAGATGAGCCGCAGCCCGCTCCCCCTTTTTTGTCTTGAGTTGTTGACATCTATCCCACGCAGGGGCTACAGCTTTCCTTTCTAGCTCTCTGTGA